TGCAAACGAGAAAAGTATCTGCTGTTGCTTTCTGAATATAAATTTGAATACAAATATGTAAATATATGTATATGTAAATATATTAATTTATAATATATTTATAATATATTATAAATTAATATAATATATTATGTATGTAATATATTCTATAATATATTATCATCAATATATTCATTTCGAAGAAATATATTTCTTTATAAACAAAAACAAAATAGAAAAATAGGAGAGGAAGAGAAGGAAGATAAGGGAGAGAGAGGGAAAGAAGAGGAGGAAGACAGAGAGCCACATTTAATACTAAATGTGCAGCGAGTATGCTTCAAATACCTATTAAGAACATCAGCAAATCTATCGCATATTTCATACGGACAATAAACATCATTAAATATGCACTCATAAGCAACTGTTAGCGTACACTGAGAATAATCGAAATATTAGAATGGAAAATTATTACTTCATTAAAACTTGCTACACCGTTTGATTCATTTTCAGATCAGTATTATGCTCCGTTGCGTCTTCCATCGAATATCTACACTTTTCAACATCTTTTGCATTTTCTTCTGTCTTAACGGAGTTGTCAGCCACATGATCATTTTCGGTCTTACACATTTCACCCGATGTGGTTATATTAGCTTCTGTTTTGATTTCTTGCTTAACTGTAAATGCTTGCTTTCTAGCTTTAGTTTCCCTTTTGGTGTCTGTTCTCTCCCTCTCATACATAAACGTTTTTCGTTTTCTTCGCATCGGCTTGCACACCTTTTTGTACAGCACGTTCATCTCCTTTATTCTGCTGGTCGGGATTGTCCAATCCATCTCTTTAGCCGTTGTATCAGAATTTCGTGTTGGATCCATACCGCTTTCATATTCCGGAATTTCAAATCCCAATTTATTCATGACAGCGACCATTACCTCGTCGACGTTGCCATTGATAATTAAATCAGCTTTTTTATCCTACAAGTATACATTTTATTTTATAATGAAATATACTTAATATCTTTTTACAAATTTATGCCGTGTGATAATCCTACATGTTTTGTCGGTTGCAGATTACATATAACAAGACGGCCTCCGTATTTTTTTGTATATAAAGGTAGATTACCACTTGGAATAATTTGTAACGTCGTTCCCAGACATATACTTAAATCGGCGACACTAAAAGAACATCAGTATAAACATTATATTTAATATCAAGATGTATGATACGCGCTATTTTAGATAAGTATTTTCAAGAATTTTTATTACAAAACCTGAGACATTCCGCAAGCCATATTAAAACCATGTATACTATTACATTCACAATTTTAATACAATTCTTGATGTACGAATGTTAAAGTTTGCACGCATAATAGCTTCGTATAGCGAGTATTTTATTATAATTTCTACTACTCTGAATGCTGATACATAATATTACAGTCACTTACCTGGAGTGAAGGTCAGACAGTGTCAAGTCGCTGTCTGGCAAATTATGCTCCCAATCGAGAATGGTATCATGCATTCGACCACGGCAAGGGCGCCCTCCTATTTGTTCCGATCTGCATACAGTATCTAAGGATTTTTTCCCCACGCTTTTGGTCGCAAAATTTCGAATAAATTGTCTGCAAAATAATTTATATTTCTACTACTTTTAATATTCTTATTACAAAAAAACTAACATTACTATAATAATTGAACTCATTTTCTCATATTTATTGTTTATTGGACTGAATTTTTTTTAGCGGAATTAAGTATATTAATTAAATCTAAACAATTTGTTTTTTTTATTGTTTCCTTATATTTGAAATTATATTTTTACGTATGTGTACAAACCTGCCACATTTGTCACACTGCTCTGTAAACATATTTCCATGCAGCTCAGCAAGATGTTGCCTCTGTATTCCTGATCGTAGATGTAGTCCATCTATATTCTGACTTATAATGAACTTTATTTTTTCTAAAAAAAAAAAGAAAAAAATATCGTGTAGAAAAATAAAAAGAGAAAATGTTTATAAAAGAGAACTTTGATATTCTTTTACAATTTACTTTGCCAACACTTACTGGTTTCTATCAATTTTTTCAATGTCATATGGGTCTTTGTAGGAATTGCTTCATCAAAAGAAATGTTCATGGAAGGTTTTAAACCTTTTTGTTCCAATGTCCATACACCATTTGTACCCCTAGTACAAAAAAGAATGTCGCTCAAATTGGCGATATAAATAAATATATTGTATTCCAATTATGAAGTTCTATTTGCTCAATTTATAAATGATCACAAATTTTGCTTGCATATTTAAATTCCTTAATTTTTTCTTTAATTTCGTGTATTTATTAGATTTAAGGATTGTAGGGATATATACATTAAGATTATAAGGATAAATTGAAAATATATAAACATGTATGTTTATGTAAGTATCTTTAGAATACTTCTGGTATGAGAAGCTCCTTTTATATAAATACGTAACGACTTAGCATTGTTTAATATGTTTTTAATCTCATACTCCTTTAATCTTTAAAAATTCTTCTGTGTTTTCTTTTCCAGGATACATCAAATCGCAGTCTTTGGTGGAAGCGAATAGGAAACTGGAAATACAGGAGTGAACTCGGGTATGGACAGGTATAGAATTCATTCAGTCTTGAGAAATGACAATGCGATAGTCACCGAAAATCGGGAATACCCGCCGCAGTGCTAATACCGGCTCCAGTGTGGACCACGACGTGACGCGCGCCTTGTATCCAGTCGGCCAGGAGACCACATTTCAGACGAAGAGTCTCGACGCTGTCGTATCTCTGCAAGTAGAAAGGAATAAAGAAAAAAACGAAGGAAAAAGAAAACAATGGAAGAAAAAAAAAAAAGTAGAGCGTCACTCTACTCCGCGAGGAATTGGCGACGTGGAGCAAAACGCCATCGCGTTTACCGCGCGTCGCCGAAAATTTCGGGAAAAAGAGGGGAAAAAAAAAAATATCTCGTCCCGCCGAATATTTTTTTTTTACCTCTTCCAGTCCGAGCACTCCTTTGTTTTCGTACGGCGATAACCCGTCCGCGTAGCTCGATGACATTTTTGCGCGTCCGCGAAGTCCGAGGTGAGTCCCGTCCCGATATCCGTAATCACGACGCCTCGAGGGAACGCCACGAACGGCGATACGTGCTCGTCGTCTCACACGAAGCGGGTTCGACGCGATTTTCAGCCGCGCTCCGGCCGCCCTCCCATGTGCCAGACGAATACGTAAACAATATGAATCGAGAGCTAATGACCGCGTGCTGTTATGTTTATACGCTACGAATGACGATAAGTGATAGGAAACTCGAGACCCGCGGAGAACGCATTCTGTTTTATAGACTGCACTGCATGCAACGAAATGGCACTTGAACAGAAAGAAGATAATAAACCCCCCGGGGCATGCGCTCTGAGCCGCGCGCCGTAGGAGCGGCGGTCGGTCGTTTTGGACGCCACGGACGCTTCGGTTCATCTCGCCTCCATTCAATTCATGCACGAGCCATCAACTAACTGCGCAGAGCGCCAATTTCGAATTCGTCGATTGTGTTTATTGAAACGAGGTGAAAGTGACAAAGGGAGCTTTCTTGCAGAGGCACAAATCGACGCAAGAGTCATTTTCCGTCTTTGTTTCTTACTGATTATTGAACAAGGACGGAATGAGTCTTGTGCCTCTTTCTGGAAAGCTTGCGAAAATGAGCGAATTTATTAGAATACTTATAAACATATTATAATAATGAGACAAGGGCGTAGGAATACTTTTTCCAAAGACAATTGCACTTGAAGTATGAATTTACTAGAATATTTAAAAATAAAGTAATAGGACAAAGGGCGAAGGAATACTTTTCCCAAAAACAAATGTATTTGAAGTACGAAGGTCCGTGCAAATTGAACTTGACAACTTGATTGAATCAAACAAAATTTCGTGTATTTTTTAAATTTGAACAACTATGTATAAAATGATAATTAAAAGACAAATTCGCATCGTAATAGAGTATCACATTTCAATTTGAAGCTTTTATTTGAAAATGACAAAAGAGTGAGCAAATTTACTATAGGTGTTGATAATGAAATTATAATTATTATCTAAATAAATATAAATATAATAATGACTCTTATGCTCTTTGTGTTATTATTTTAATTAAGAAATCATTATTACATATATATTTATTTAAAATATTCATAATTTCATTGGACAACATTTAATAAATTTGCTCATTTTTATAATTTTCATCTCGTTTCATAATATTTGATGTCAATCGGATGTCATTTCTTATATTATTTCAGAAATCTTTTATACTTATTAATATAAATAATTCTACTTTATGTTTCTTTAAATACAAAGATATTTAAAAAAATGATAAGCATTTCAGTTTTTTTATAATATGTACCTCAATAAAAAGTATAGAATTGCGATCCTTATAATCAATAAAATTGATTAAAGTTTGATCAAACCTCAGTTCATTTAATCGATAATTAATAATATTTTATTAATACAGATATATTTAATAAAAATCACTTTTCGTAATTTGATACAGTAACAAAATTTATTAAATATTAATACATATTTTTTTTAAAATTAATTCAATATGTACAAATTCATATTTTTAAAAAATAGTATTCTAAGTAAACGTTTATGATAAATTCGCTTGCACTACTACATTAGTGTATATTAAATGTGCTACTTTATATAAAGTATTTAAATATAGTGACCAGTAATCAACTTTGACAATAATATAATATACATGTATTATATATTCTGTTAAATAACGTGACAATACCATTATTAAATAGCTAATTATTTAAAATATTTATAAATCTTTACATTTAATTTTGCAGTTTAATTGTAACAATTTCAAATATGCATTAATCTAGCACAGTGCAATTAATCGAATTCTATTACTTACAGTAAATAAATATTTAATATTAAATAAAAAATGATAATTAAATGAAATTAATAGTTATTAATAAATATACGTTTATGCATTTAGTAAATATTATATATATATATATATATATATATGTGTGTGTGTGTGTATAAAAGAAAGATTAGATTAATATATAGCGATAAAATACATAGTTTACAATTTTACCATAGACATGACATTGATTGAGTTGCGATTCTCAGTGAGACGACTTCGATCAAAGTTTAATTAAATCCTACTCACTAGTCAATTAAAGTTTGATTAAACTTGATCGCCGAAGTCACCCTGAAGGATATATTATATATCGAAGAAGCTTATTTCGCAGTTCGTCTCGTTGACGGTAAAAAAAAAAACATACAACTCGCTAAAAGATTTCGTGAAGCGGAATTGGACTTAGGTGGCGTTTCGCGTTCGTCGCTCTCGCCAGCGGTCGTTCTCCACGTTCTCCTCGATTTCCATTCCACCGATCTTCGGCACCTAGGAAGTTTCTTCCGCACATGCTGCCGCCTGCCGCTCCGCGGTCGCGTTAAACCGCTGATCGAGTATCTGCTTCGTCGAGTGATGGGGAACACGCGTCGCGACGAAGAAAGATGCGGGGTGCCAGGAAAAAAAAGAAAGCCAGCCGTTGAGTAGTCACCAGGTCGAGCATGCGGTCAGTCGAGAGAGACGTTGCGTCGGTTTTCGCGAATAATCGGCACGTATATATACCTATACATCTACGTGTATTGAGAAGGAAAAAGAAAGGGAGAGGGAGAGAGAGCGAACGAACCGCGCGGCGGCGAGTTGGGCGCGTTACGTCGTCGATGTGTGCGACCAGGTGATTGAAGAAACACTCCCTCCCTTCTCTCTCTTTCGTTCACACACTCTCTCTCTCTCTCCCTCTCTCCCACCCTCGTGCTATCTCTCTCTCTTTCTCCCCCCCTCTCGCACCTATTCCGACTCACACACTCTCTCTTCGGTATATAACCTCAAACCGTCGGCGAGTTCGTGTCGCGTCGTCCGACGTTCCGCGCCGTGTATGTTTTCGGTCACGGCTGAACCGAGTTCCGGATGTGCGTGGCGCGGTTCCTGCCATCGCAGCGGGTGTTAATGAGCTCCGGCGGTTTCTCACCACATGACACTCGTAAGTACATTCCTGTCATCGGTTCTTTTTTTTTCCTTTCTTTCGCCCCCGCCTTCCCGCCTTCCTCTTTGCCCCTTTTCGCCGTCCTCGTGGACTCGTGCCCCGCGATCGCCGCGCGTCCTCGACGAGCTTTTTTTTTCCCCTCCCCGTGCCGGGTGTTCGCGGCCTTCGCCGTCGGCGGTCGGCACCGATAAATCCCTCCCCGGCGAAATTTTCGCGCGTGCCGGCGGCGTGAATTCCGGCCGGAACTCCGCGCGTACTTTCGGACGGAAACGTTGAGGATACCTCCGCGCGTCTCTCCGGTGAGGGTTTTTTTTTTTTTTTTTACGATCGCACACGACGTATCTGCTTTTCTTTTTCTCCCTTTCTCGGAACATAGGAATTTCATTTCACGCAGAGCGACATCTCCGTTCGTGTATGTTACCCGTTATCCTCGGGATGTTGCTTTTGGAATGCCGCTTTTAGATCGCGCCGAGCTGTTCAAGTTGAAGTACACCAAAATCGGAAAACGTATCTATTTTAAGTGAAACAAAAACGATTGGAGCGAACCCTTCCATCTATTTCAAGTAAAGAATGTGGGTGTCCTTTTGGCGGTGATATACTTTTGACTTTTTGAAGTCTATGCTTTTCTTCTTCGATTACTGTTTTTGTTTTTCATCGTTCCATTTTCGAGAAGTAAAGGTTAATTATTAATATTCATTATTGATCTGTATTAATATTTAATCGTGTACTGTTACTTTAGGAGTGATTTCGATCTAACTTCAATTAATTTGTCATTAAGATCTGTCTGTTAAGATCTATTAATACGAATGGAATTGTTAGTTGTTTATTATTTGACATGAAAAAAAATTTATTAACATTCATTTCTATCAAGATAATAGATTAACTTTAATCTCGGTTGAATTTGTTTTGTTTGATCTTTTTTTAGTTTTATGAATTAGAAAAAAAAGAAAGAATCAGCACATGTTTGTTAACTCGAAATTGATTATTAATTCTTTATCGTTTGACATATGAAAAAAAAGATTAATGCCGATTCCCACCAATAATTAACTTTGATCTCAGTTCAACTTATTCTTTATTTTTTTCTAGTGTTAAAAATTAGAAAATGATGGAAGGTGAATTGAATCAAAATTAAAGTTAATTTGCATTGGTGAAAACGGAAATAAAGGGCGACGAATTATGTAGTCAGAAATTTCGAATTATTCTGTTGATCGAAGATTTAATTAATCACTTCATATAATTCGCTAATAAACGATTTCCGTTTTCCTCGAGTTTAAATACTTAAACGCACGAAAATGATTTCACGTCATTTTTCGTGCGCGTATTTTTTTCAAACGAAAGTTTCGGGCTTTCGATCCCACGATGATCGGCGATCTCTCTATTGAACAAACGACAAGTAATTAGGACCGGTCGACCACACGTTCGGTGCTAAATGACACGCTAAATGAATGAGAATGCGAGACTTTGTGCCCGCGATGAAAAAATACACATGTGTTTTTTTCATAACGATCCGACTTGCGCGATATTCCACGACGTGTGCGGGCTTCCGATGAGCACGTGCTACTTTTGTGTAAATTGTACAAGGTTTGTTGCGAAAGAAAATAATTATCTAGGATGACTCGGAAATCAATAATATCGTATACACAGGGTGTTCTGAGTTGTTTGACCAAGGTATATATACACGTATACGCTGGGCTCCTGCTTAGTTATAGCACTGTTCCTGCCCTTTTCGCTTGATATCACAACAGACAAACATACAGAAAATTAATTTTATATGTATACAGAACGGTGTTTTCCAGGGAATTCGATTAGACGCACTAGTGCGCGTTGTTGCATGTTAAAACCGTTATATACGGATTTTTTGTTTAGGTGTAAAAATTAAATGCAAATATTTCGAATTATAAAATGCACATTTTTAAACAATATAATATAGAGCTAAGAACCAATTCAGGGTATATGTGAGTAACAATATTATTGTAAGCAATCTAAAAACGTACGAACGTTTCGACTTCTATTGGGTCCTTCTTAATGTTAAAAAATAAATGTAAATGTTACCGGTAACTGTGCAAGATGTTCAATATATAAAAAGCGCATTGTATATTCGCATGTTGGAAAGAATAATTATGGCAAGATACGGATTCAATCAGCTTTCCATCGGAACTTATTGTTAATCTATTCCAGAAGTCATATAATCGTATGAAGTCCGTAAGCTTTCTCTCAAATTTACAATAGGTTGGTTCAATGAAATTAATGTAATAAATTAATGTAATAAATTAAAGATACGTACATCCTTCATATTCTTTTTGCAATTACTGATTAACATTCGAACATCCAAATTAATTTAAAAAAATATATGTATATAAATTGAGTATTGAAAGCAATTATATAATACAGAGATATCAAAACGGGTCTTAATACTGTCGAACTCTGAGAGTAATGTAATATTGTTTTGTTACATCTTAAAATTCGACAGTATTAAGACTCATTTGATATCTCTGTATTATATAATTACTTTCAGTACTCAATTTATATTTTTTTGTTTTTTTTTTAAATTAATTTATGAATGTTCGAATGTTAATCAACAGTTGCAAAAAGAATATGAAGGATGTATGTATCTTTATATTAATTTCATTAGGACCAACCTATTGTAAATTTGAGAGGAAGCTTACGGTATTATAGACTTCATACGATTATGTGACTTCTGGAAAAGACTAATAACAAGTTCCGATAGGAAACTGATTGAATCTAGGCCGTATCTTGCCATAATTATTCTTTCCAATAGCGAATACACATGCGCTTTTTATATATTGAACATCTTGCGTAGTTACCAGTAACATTTAAATTTATTTTTTAACATTGAGAAGGATCTAATAGAAATCGAAACGTCTGTAAACGTTTTTAGATTGCTTACAATAATATTGTTCTCATTATTCTGAGTTGTTCTTAGTCTATATTATATTGTTTAATTTATTTAATTATTGGAATTGTTATTATTTATTGATTTTTAATACACATTTTCCCTAATAATACAATGAAATGTATTGAATATTTGGCGATTTAATCTATTTCTATATTAAACACATGTTTTTACGTCAATCTTACGGCTTTAATGTGCATCAAAATAGCTAAAGTACATCAAATCGAATTTGCTATTAACGTGCAGATATTGCCTCGGGAACAACTTTAATACAGAAAGAATTATTTTTGAAGTATCTAAAAATTTAGATAGTCAGTAGAGTCCGACCGAAATTTTGGTTTTGGTTTCTGTCAGTTTCGATAATTTTAGTGCTCGGAATTAGTTACCCATTTCGAGCAGATTCCTGAGGCGACCCCCCCATTACCACTCGAGACTCGGCGGCCGAGGTCACGTGACGCTGTGCCCCAGGAACGTTGCGATACAAAAAGTATGCTGGGAGCATATCTTCCGGCAAATATCATTAAAATATTTTCTTTCCTACATGATTTTAATATTAAAATTTTTTATTATTAACATATTATGTGTATATTCTACAATAATAAGCAATAATATAGTATTACGACGTAATTACAGTATTATAATAATTGCTTACTATATTATTGCTTATTATTATATTATTGTAGAATATACACATAATATTTTAATAATAAAAAATTGAAATATTAAAATAAAAATCATGTAGGAAAGAAAACATTTGAATGATATTTGCCGGAAGATATGCTCCCAGTATACTTTTTGTATCGCGACGCTCCTGGGGCATAGCGTCACGTGGGCTCGGCCGCCGAGTCTCGAGTGGGAGTGGGGGTCGCCTCAGGAATCTGCCCGAAATGGGCAACTAATTCCGAGCACTCTAAAAAATCGGAGTTTCGGTTTGATTTCAGTTTCGGTTGAAATTAAGAGAAAATTTCGGTAAGTAAATCGAAACTACAAATTGCATCGCGCCGGCGAGTATTCGACAAACTATGTTCTTTACTGAAAAAAAATTACGTCAAACAAAATTACATAACGAAATTATGTAATTAAAATAAGTAAATCACGTATCGGATTGTTCCAAATCAGTACGTGATTTTTTTTAAATTACGTATTGTAATTTTAGATTTTAAATAAATGATATTAAAACTAATTTCATCTATTATGTGATTTTATATTTATCGAATTTTAAAGAATTGAATGATAGAAATAGAAGAAAAAAAAGCATTATGTGACTTTTCAAATTACGTAATTTAAAAAATTACGTACTGGTTTGAAACAATTCGTTACGTGATTTATTTATCTTAATTACATGATTTCGTTTGGTGACGTGATTTTTTTCAATAAGATTATCGTCGACTAATCGATGTCAATTGCTATAAAAATAAACTGCGCTGTCTCTTCCTTCTTTATCCTTTTTTATTCACCAAATTGCTATCATGTCTAGTACTTGAATTATGAATATTAATTATTGCTTATAATTTATAGGAAATTCTTTATAATTTAAGGAATAATAAGATATTAATAACATCTGATTTTTATAAGAATACATAAATTTTACATAGTTCAATTTTCAATGATTTTCTGAAAATCATATGATGTTTGTAAGATGTTTATCCAAAAATTTCGGTTTCGACCGGAGGCAAAAAAGTAGTTTCGAATAGATTCTAGTAAACAGATCTAAAAATAATTTTGCTGGGCCATTAAAGTAATTTTGTAGGAAATTCAAACGCGACAAATAATGCTATAAAAACTTTTGACATTCTAGCAAACAACTTGAATGTACTGCATAATTATTTTAGTCCATTATTTTTAAATTTGTATACAGCTAAATTTTCATGAACTTCAACAAAATCATTCTTTTCATGAACAAATTTGATTTGGATTCTTTTACAGGAAAATTATCATACAATTTACATAAAATTATTATTATATAAGAACTATTTTTTTCAGTTATGTAAAATATACAAAATTATTAAAAAGAAATTAGAATAAATGTTAATATTTACTGTTATATTCATTTCTTATACACATATTATAATGATTACACTTA